AAGACAGGGTTCAAAGAGCTTCTGGACACCTGAATAACTGGAGGTTCCTGAAGGATGGTACATCCTAAGAGAGCATGAAAACTCCATACCACTTCCACATACCTCACCCTATACACCTCTGCATCTGTATCCTTTTTGATACCCATTATAATAAAACAAGTTAACTGAATCCAAGGAGAGAGTTGTGGGAATCCCAATTTGTAGATGCTTGGTCATAAGCACAGGTAAAACAACTCAGAGCTTGCACCTGGCATTTGAAGTGGGGGTGTTGGGTTTACATTAAGTCCTAAAGACTGAGCCCTCAACCTGTGGGATCTGATGCTGTTGGGTTTACATTAAATCTTAAAGACTGAGTCCTCAACCTGTAGGATCTGATGCTATCTCCAGATACAGAGTGTTACAACGATAGATTAGAAGACATCCAGTTGGTGCCTGCTACCAGATTGCTTGCTTGCTTGCTTGCTGGTGGAGAGAAATTCCCATACCTTTTGGGGTCACAGAAGTCTTCTGTTGAGAGTTGCAGTGTGAAAACAGAGGGGGGGAAAAAAACAGATTTTCTGATACCGGTATCTCTCTGTAACTTTAAATTTCTTAAGGAATCCAAATTCCTACTCCTAGAACTCAAGGTGTTTCAGGGTCTTGAGTAGGTGGAATTTCCCACCTACTCAGCTTCCTAACAACTGAAGTCTTCCTGTGTCCAAGTTCAACTGATATCTCCTCCTGTCTAAGCATTTGCTCATATACCCACTCCACTCCACCTAAGGAAAGTCAAGGCACCCTACAAGACCAGCTTGATTCTCAGCCTCTACTGTAACCCTTCCCACAGTACTAGTTCAGATGAGTTTCCTTCTTTCCCTGGAACTCCTGTAAGACTTATTTTCCATTCATCGTTATTGTATTGAGTTGATATCTAACCCACTGTTTTTTCCTGTGTCTTATTTTTTTTAGGACAAGAACCTGTGTCATCTACTGTATCAACCACAGCATTTCACACCTAATGGATAGCCAGAAAATAAATAAAAATATGTGTGTGTGTGTATACACATTTATATATATTTTTACACATGCCCATAGATGAAAATAATTAACAAGGTAACATTGTTTTTAAATTTTGGTGTGCATTTTACACTTAAACATACATACATATATATATATATATATATACACACACAAAATATATATATACACACACATATATATATAAATATATATACATATATAAACATATGTATTTAAGTTTTATGTTACAAATTACTTTAAAATGATACTTAAACATATGAATATGATATATATATATATAATATAAATATCAAATACATGCTCAATCCAGGCACAGCATTAGTCCCAACCTCCCCACCCCCATTTTTTAAAAATTAAAGCCTAAATGATAGTTTATAGGCACAGAAAATCCAATGGCACATTCCTCTATTTCCTTTTGCTACCTCTCATTTAAATTACAAAAAGTTTATTTGTTAATATTTGGCCATATACATTTCTCCCTGAAAGTCTAGGCATACCTTCTACAACATTCAAAATTTGCTGAATACCACCACAATGCAATTAACAAGCTGAAATTGAGGCATAGATGGCCTAACCAATAAGCACTCACCATAAACAAAAAGTATTCACACTGAGAAAAAGAAGAATACATCTATAAATATAAATATAAGCTAGTACTAAGGCCATCTCCTAAGCTAAAAAAACAAAAGTCCAATAGGTTATCCATGCACACACTACTACTGTGCATAATCATTAAGATTTAAAAAATAGATAAAATCATGAGATCACCTAGTTAAACGAAGCAGTACAACACAGTGGTTAGCAGCACAGGCTCTAGAGCCAAACTAAATTGTCTTGAACTAACTCCATTACTAACTATATTACGTTAAAAGCAAGTAACTTAACCTCACTATGGCTCCATCAGTAATAACAGCATTTACCTTAAAGGTTATTATTAGTATTAAGAAAACTAACTTGTAATGTTTTGAACAACCCACAATAAAAAATTAAAAAAAAAAATTGTGCAACATAAAAAAAAAAAAAGAAAGAAAACTAACATATGTAAAGGGCTTAAAAGAATGTTTCACATATGGTAAATACTGAATAACTATATTACTGCACACAGCACAAATAAAGTTATTGTTTTCAATTAATTAATCAAATATATACTTCATCCATAGTCAAATAGGAGGTACTATGTTTACAGATATACTTAGCTTTATTAGATATACACTATGTTTCCTATTTTATTAGATTAGTTCCTTGCCCATAAGAACCACGCCTTCTCTCTCTCATTTAGGACTCTCTACAACAGCACTATCTAGGGGAAATATAACATGATTTCAAATCTAATAGCCACATTTAAAAAGAATAAAGAATATACTTAACCCAATATATGTAAAATATTATAATTTCAAAATGTAAAATGATAAAAATAATAATTAACAGGATTACACTGTTTTCATATTAAGTTTTCAAAATTTGGTGTATATTTTACACTTACAACATATCTCAATTTGTACTAGCCACATCATAAATGCTTACTGTTTAAACTACATGTTTAAACCTATAAAATCTTCATACTGTGTTAAAATACTTTTGTTCACAAGAAGTATCAAGAATAAGTTCATTATAATTTATGATTTTAAAATCTTAGATTTCTCCAACAGAAAGCACTTTTAGGGCCTAGTTTCTTGAAGCTCTTTATTTCATAAAGAACCCCAGAGAGGTAACCTAAACTTATCATCAGTAGGGGTTCTGGGAGACTCTCTGTTTTGAATCCAAGGCCCTCCTATGATGAAATTTATTCCTCTTCAACATCAAGACAGCCCCTACATTAGCTGAGCCTGTGGTCAGACTGTTCAGGACTGAATCCCAGTTCAACTACTTAATAACTGAAGCTTCCAAACTGTTTCCTTTTCAGTTGGAAAAATAGGAGTGATAATAGCATTACCTACAAATCAAGGGGGTGTTGTGAAGTCTGATGAGTTGATATATATAAAGCATTTGGAACAGCAATTGGTGCCTTGTACACGTATTTTATAAATATTGGTGATTATTAGTTATTAAAAGCAGATTGATACAGCTATATTAAGATGCATCTGTTTGGATTTAGACACAAATACTTCATTTTATATGTAAGATTACATCCAGCTTTTTGCAATATGTTTTCAAAAACAATGTGGATTGTTTGTGTACAAGCAGCCCGAGTTCTGACTGGCTCTCTTCAGGCCAGGCTGAAGCCACTGCATCTTGTCTATGTGTTAAGAAGTTGTGAAACAGCACTACTTCTACTTGAAATGGAAATTTGTCCCTTTCTTCCTCATTAGGTCTAGGAAGATAAAGAAGATAAAACTAAATTTGCTTTTGTTTTACTCAGACCATGGGAGTTGTATTCTCTGCAAAAGGGAGAAAATGGCTACCAGAACCACCTCTAAAATAAAAATCTAATCAGGAGTGGTGGTGCACTCCTGTAATCTCAGCAGCTGGGGAGGCTGAGACAGGGGGATCTCGAGTTCAAAGCCAGCCTCAGTAAAAAGCATGGGCACTAAGCAACTCAGTGAGACCCTGTCTCTAATTAGAAAATACAAAAAAAAAAAATTGGCCTGGGATGTGGCTCAGTGGTCTGAGTTCATACCATAGATAGATAGATAGATAGATAGACAGATAGATAGACAGACAGACAGACAGACAGACAGACAAGAATAAAATAATCAAAAAATCTGTTTTTAACCAGATTAAGACACTTGCCAAAGTCACAGAGTAAGGTAGCAGAGATAGAACTAAATCTATAGTCTAAGTGTTCTGGACTCCACAGTAGGGTGAGATCATTTGATAACATATCATCAGTACAAGACTGGTCCAGTGACAAATTTAATTACAGATGGAGAAAAACCAATTTGATTTTTACTCAATACAATATAAATTTAGTGTCAATAATCTTAAACAGAGCAACAGGTTCTAAAGAATTGCTTAGGGTCAAGGAGAAATTGCCTTTAATGAGCTTCATTTGTTAATTCCTTAAGGAAAAACAGTAATGGTACTAGAAGAAGATAGAAGACAGAATTCAAGATTGCTGAGAACCTAATATAATCCTTGCACTGAATGCTACATAACTCTGGACCCTAAGACCCTTTCTAGCTCTAAAATTCTTGGTATCTAGATAAAAGAATCTAAACTCACATAGCCAAAGTGGGCGGGATCTAGATACAAAAGACTTAAGGGATGCTAAAAATCACTACTACCAAAGGAAAAAAAGATAATATCTAGGAGTCAGAATCTGAAAAGGCAGGATCCATAGAGATATCTTAAAACAGCCAAGTTGTTTTGAATATAATCATTAAAAAAGAAAACAGAAAGCAAGCATAATTCCAAGGTCAATGCTATCAGGCAACTGCATGTTAGTGAGGGATATGGCTGCAGAGTCAGCAAAATCTCAGTCCCAAATTAATCATTACTGAGCATGAAGCCAACATTATCTTTTCCCCCAAGTTACAAATGGATAAGAATCCAGGGTTAGTTTAGCAGCAAGCTATAGACTACACATACTTGACCAGATTTTAACAGTGGAGAATATAAAAATTTACCAAGTACTCTGATATACATTTACTAATATTCATAATGACTAATGCGTTTCACAATCTCCAGGCCTAACTGGGACATAATTTATGTGATTTTTCTGTAGTACTACAATTCTGTAGTACTACAATTCTAATGAGAGCAATAAGAAAAAAGTGTTTTCCATGAAGGTGATGCTGAAGACCTCTAAAGCCTTGATGGTTTTCTTTTAAACAGTTTTACTGATATATGATTCAAAGACCATAAAACCTATTCATTTAAAGTGTCTAATTCAATGGTATGATTTTTGTTACATTCAGAGTAGTACAAACATCCCAAAGTTGATTTAGAGCACTCGCATCCTTCACCTTAGTGTGGGAATGCTTGTAGTCACTCTACCTCAGAAGTTCTTTCTCTAGGCAGCCACAAGGTTTTTTACTCACCTGGTTTAGGTCTTGGCCCAAAAGTCACTTTCTCAGAAAGGTCTTCCCTGGCCAGGTGCGGTGGTATACTCCTGTAATCCCAGTTACTCAGGAGGCTAAGGCAGAAGAATTATGAGTTTGAGAACAGCACGGATAACTGGGGAGAGACTGTCTTAAAATATAAAATTTTTAAAAAATGGTTAGGGATGTAGCTCAGTGGCAGAACACCCCTATGCTCCAATCCAAAGTATCACAAAAAAATATATAAAAATAAAAAATGTTAAAAGCATTCCCTGATTGTGATGTAAAAATGGTAACACCAACCTGTATCACACACTTCAAGCACCAACCACATGGCCTGTTGCCCTTCGACCCATTACCCCACCTTATTTCTCCAGACAGTGATCACATTCAACATTCCAAATGCTTTATTTATTTTCTATAAACTCCTAAGAGGCAAAGCTTTTTGTCTGTTTTATTCAATACTATACCACCCCCACCCCCCACCCCCTCAGGCCAATCACATCACTCTTGTAAAAGCTTAGTATCTGTGGAAAGGAGAAAGGAGGAAGGAGAGAAAAAGGTGGCTTCACTATTACAAAGGACACTATCTTCAATTTACCTTTTAAATTATGAAGTTTCTATAACTTTTCATCTTTATATAAGAAAGCCAAATCAGAAAAATTAAAACAAATGAAGTTAACCAAGTTTGAACCACTGCAGACATCTATGCTTTAAAGATTTGTTTCCAATTTTTCATTCCTTCTATCTCCACAGTGTTTTAGTTTTGTTCCATCATTCAAAGGCCCACTGTCTATGTGAGAAAGGCAAGCTACATGCATACCGTCTTTTATTTCTGCCATTTTAGTTTTTTAAAAAGTGAATAGCAAATACTATGTCATATCATATAATTGTTAAAAAATGATAATCTAAAAAAGGAGAATAGTAAACTACCTGCTAGAAGAAACTATGTTAACTCAAGTAAGCGTAACTAAGATAATGGCTAACACACTACTTTACTTTTTGCATATGTTGATATTCATAGGGTGGTGAGGATGGCATAGGTTCACAGGACAACTCTCCACCCTCTGACCTTCAACATATGATTAAAATAAAATAAGTCAAAACTTAACAACAGTATTCCATAAAAGTGACGTCTCACTTTTATGGAATACTGTTGTTAAGTCTGGCTACATTTTGGGAAATACTAAGAGAAGATAAAGTTGGTTAGGTCAATGGTTTCCAAATACTAAGCTGAAGATCATTTCCCAACTTGTATCAAAATTTTTACTAGTCCACAATGAAATGAGAAAAATAAATACAAGTTTTAACTTGTTAATAATGCTAAATTATTATATTATGTATTTATAATCCAATTCTTCTATTATTTACATGTAACATCATAAAAAAATATTTTTAAATGTGTCAGTTAAGGCTGTTAGCCATTTTTTCTAAGATAATGTCCTTTCCTGAATACTAATGAATTCAGTATTTATCCCATAGGCAACAGGAATTTATTTTTACTCTCAAATTTATTATGTATTTTTAATGCCTTAATATTTTGTAACAAGGCTGTATTGCTTTAGAAATTAGAAAAGACATTCCTAAATAATCATAAGGATTTAAATATAACAAAAGTTGCTTGAGTCCAGGCACGATGGCACGTGCCTGTAATCCCAGTGGCTCGGGAGGCTGAGGTAGGAGGAAAGCAATTTCAAAGCCAGCCTCAACAACATAGTGAGACCCTGTCTCTAAATAAAATATTAAAAGGGCTGGGAATGTGACTAAGTGGTTAAGTGCCCCCTGGGTTCAATCCCCTGCACCAAAAACAAACAAACAAAATACCTTGAAGAGTGGACAAGAAGGCTTACTAGCCCGTGCATATAAACTATATTCAATATATATATGCTTAAAAAACTAAAGAAATTAAATGAATCTAAAATCAAGCCCTTATATAAACATGTAACATAGGGGCTGGGAATGTGGCTCAAGCGGTAGCGCGCTCGCCTGGCATGCGTGCGGCCCGGGTTCGATCCTCAGCACCACATACAAACAAAGATGTTGTGTCCGCCAAAAACTAAAAGAATAAATATTAAAAAAAAAAAATCCGAGGTAGTAAGATATAAGAAATCTTCACAGTATATATTAAAAAAAAAAAAAAACATGTAGCATATATAACAAAACCAAAAAGGGGAGTTTAAGGAGGCAGTTAACAAGCTTAAAAACAATCTGCTCTGGCAGTAATTCAAAAGTTCCTTTTCTAAAATACTGTAACCTAAAAATGTCACAATACTCTATTTTTCTAATTACTTGCTATTGGTTGGAGGGGGAAAAGTCTAACTGCGATTTAAAAAGCAATGAAGAAAAGATTTTTACTAGAGAAATTCAATGTCATCTTCCAAAAAGATGAGATTAAAAATAAGAATTTTATTTGCAATATAGAAGTGTTAAATTTGAACACTAAAAAAACTGAACAGGAAGTATTCATTGGTCAATGGAAATATGAGTTTATTAAAGTCAGAAAGCTAATTCCTTGCTCTAGTTAAAACATAGCTCTATAAGAAAATCAATTCTTCCATCTTTCTCCCTATGAACCAATAATGGCAAAAACTTTTGAAAAAGATGGCATTGCACAGCACACCTCCTTGCCAGTGGAGAGAAAGAAAGCTGTCAGAAAAATTAAAACAGCTCAAACTTCATTTCTGTAGTGTATTGCTTCAATAAGTTCCAAACAATTGTGTAAATGTTAGCCATACATCTTTCCAGTCAGTTTAGAATTATTCAGCTATGGGAGACCAAACCAAATGAAGCCAACCATGCATGGAAAACATCTGCTGATAATTTCTACAGTTAATGGTTTCCAATAGTAGTATATACCTCTTATCAGAATGCTTTCCATGGAACAACTTCAAGTATTCATTGGTGAAAGATCAGACTGAAGCTAAGTGGAATTATTATCAAATACCACTACTACCACATAGCAATCTGCTAATATCTGGATAATTTAATTACTCAGGTTCTAAACTTTTTGCTTAAGTTAGAGTTATTGTTTTTTAAAAATTACATACATACACATACACACACACACCACTACCACAATAAAATATTTGAAAAGTTATTTCTACAAATAAAGAATTTCAGGGCACTGAAAATTAACCACACATTTGGAAAAATGAAATCATATTTGATAAATAGTTCAATTCAGTTATTTGAAAATGAAATTACTTTTTTAAAAGAATGTCTGGCCAATATGATACTAAATACTATATTCTCCTAAAAATGTGCACATAGTTATGCACTTTTATCATACCAGTTCTATTCGTATTAAAATTTAATGGCTAAGACTTACAGAATGGACAACCAAACTTTAGCTTTCTCCTAAACTTAAAAATCAGAACTGAATTAGGGATTTTATTCTAGACAACAGTTCTTATAATGCTTTTCTAGTGCTATTTTCTTAAAATTATATTAGAATAATGCTGGTTAATGGCACAATCAATATGTATGGAGATGGGGGTTTTATTTTGGCTTTTCTTATGCAGTCTTTATTTGTTCTTTTTAGATATACATGACAATACAGTGTATTTTGACATTATATATATATGGAATACAATACCCTAATTAGGATCCCCTTCTTGTGGTTGTACATGATATGGAGGTTCACTGGTCATGTATTCGTATTTGAACATAGGAAATTATGTCTGATTCATTCTACTGCCTTTCCTATTCCCATCCCCCATTCCTTCCCTTCACCCCCCTTTGTCTAATACAATGAACTTCTATTCTCCCCACTCCCCCCACCTCCGCTCCTTATTGTGTGTTAGCATCCACATATCACAGAGTACATTTTGGTCTTTGGTTCTTTGGGATTGGCTTATTTCACTTAGCATGATAGTCTCCAATTCCATTCATTTACTGGCAAATGCCATAATTTCCTTCTTCTTTATGGTTGAGTAATATTCTATTATGTATATATAACATACCTTTCATTTTTTTAAATCCATTCTAGGTTGGTTCCATAGCTTAGCTATTGTGAATTGAGCTGCTATAAACATTAATGTGGCTGTGTCATTGTAGGGTACTGTTTTAAGTCCTTTGGATATATGCTGAGGAGTGGGATAACTGGGTCAAATGGTGGTTCTATTCCAAGTTTTCTGAGGAAACTCCATACTCCTTTCCAGAGTGGTTGCAGCAATTTGCAGTCCCAACAGCAATGTAAGAGTGTGTCCTTTTCCCCACATTCTCGCCAACACTTGTTGTTACCTGTATTCTTGATAATTGCTGTTCTGACTGGAGTAAGATGAAATATCAGTGTAGTTTTAACTTGCATTTCTCTGCTAGAGATGTTGAATATTTTTTCACATATTTGTGGACCATTCATATTTCTTTTTCTATGAAGTGCCTATTTGGTTCCTTTGCCCATTTATTGATTAGATGGCAAGAAGTAAAATCAAGAATCAATAAAAAGGACGGTATCAAACTTCTTCACAGCAATGGAAACAATCAAGAATGTGAAAAGAGAACCTACAGAATGAGGAGATAATCTTTACCACCTGCACCTCAAATATAGCATTAATCTCTAGGATATACACAGATATGCAATCTTCTTTTAAAAACTAATGCTGCACTATGATTTAAATGACTGTCCTCCAAAGGTGTATAAGTAAAAGCTTAGTTCCCAAGGTGACAGCACTAGGAGGTACTCTAGACCTTTTAGAGGTTAAGGGTGGCCTTGTGGGAGATCCTTAGGTCACTGAGGCCGTGCCCTTGAAAGAACATCATGGGATCCCAGGTTCTTGGTCTCAAAGTGTTCTTGGCTCAAGATGTTAAGTATTTTGTTCCACCGTATCCCACCAGGATATTCTAGCATCACCAGAGGTCCAAACAAATGGGACCACCCAATCTTAGAACCATGAATCAAAACAAGCTTCCCTTTCCTTTATAAGTAGCCTATCTTGGGTTTTTCATTATAGTGATACAAAGCTGCCTGAAAAAAAGCTATCACTATCACTGTTTGATAGAATTTATTGAGCATTTACTATGCCAGACACTTTACTAAAGCACTTTAGCTTGCATTACCTCATTAAATCCTCACAGCAGCCCTTTGGAGGTAGGTATGCTATATCCCAATTTTAAAGACAAACTGAGATCCAGTAAGATTAAATAACCAGAGTCACAAAATGTGGCAGGTTACATTTTCCAAAGATGATAATAAAACATCTCCTGTTTCACATTCTTTTTCTTAAAAAATGTTTTTGTTTTGCAACAGTTTTAGATTTCCAAAACAAATGTGATAATACAGAATTCCCATAAAACACATAACCAGCTTCACTTTTATTAACATTTCAACATTAGTATGTTTGTCGCAACTACTATTATGAACAATATTAATACATTTTTATTAACTAAACTCTGTGTTTTACTTACATTTCCTTCATTTCCCTCTAAGGCCCTTCTGTGGCAGGGCCCATCAGAATACCACATTATATTTACATCATCATGTCTCCCTTTAGGGTTCTCTTAGCTATGAGTTTTAAGACTTTCCTTGTTTTTGATGACCTGAGAAACTGAAAAGCTGAGACTTAACCTTACATGTGTCTCACTCTAGAGCGGGTACTTCTTAATCACAATCCTAAATAACTTCCTGCAACCCCAAACCGCTTGTCCTTGAATTTTGAAAAGGTTTATGTGTTGCTCAGTTCAGTGAGCTGAACTGGCAGACGTAAACATCTAGAAAGACGATCCTACAAGCAGTACTTTTCCAGTAATTGTCTTATTACACAGTATATTTAAAAGGATATGTGAATGAACTGCCATGGTATTTAACACCATGTGACTCCAAAATATGTGACTTCTAAATAAAAGTAAAATCATTCCCAGGGATGGGATCAAGCAAGCTATGGATTAATTTATTTTTAAATAGCAATACATCCTTTCCACAGTTATGGAAACACATTAAACTAGAACAGTTTTTCAGAGTAAATTCAAATAATTCCTGTTTGCTTTCATTTAATGGCAAGAATGCTTATAAAATATTATTAGATTTATTATACACATTTTAGGATTAAGTTGTAGCCAGTGTGAATTATAATATGCTTGGAAAAAAGTCTAACCTACACTGATTAAAATTCTATTTATAAAGGAAAAATCTAAACCACAGAAACAGTGCTTAGTTTAGAACAAGAACATGTACATAACTGCCAAATGCGATCCCTATTTAGATGTTGTACTGAAACACTGTAATTACAAAAAAACCAAAATGAATTTCTGAGTGTTTCAAGATGAAACAGTCTGTGCATAATTTTCAAGGCTTATAATTACTTTCCTGGAAAGGTAAATACTCCAGGTTTTAATTCATTATATTACTAACTCTAAAAGTTAATATAGGTTGAACATTCAACTTTACTCTAAAATAGAAGCCAGCTATAAATTCAAAAGCTCTTAAGTTAACAGACTCTAACCAAAGAAAAATTATTAGGAGTCAAAGGTCAATGCAACTTCCTACAGCCATTTATGGATAATGGAAACCACTAGGCTTACTGAATGGGTTTTAGATTCCTCACATAAGTCAATATAGCAAAGTTATCTATCTAAAATGACTGCCCTGAGAAACACATTGCAACTACAGTCTCTACTTCCTCAATTCCCATTTCGTCTTCACTACAGTCCAATTTTTGTTTCTGCCATTCCACTTAAAACACTGTCATAAAAAATCCATTTTCATGTTGCCACGTCCAGTGGCCACTGCTCTGTCCTCATCTTACTCTACCACTTGGCAGTATTGTACACACGTGGCCACTTTCTCTTTGAAAGGATAGCCTCTCTTGAAATATTATGACACACTCTCTCCAGGTTTCTCCCCTCTTCTTCTGGTTCACGTGGTTGGCTCTTCTTCCTCCAAAGGACCTCAAAATGCTGAGGCTTCCTACCACTCAGACTTTGGTGGTCTTCTATCACTTTCCTTCTCCTTCCTTCCTCTATGCTATCTTCTCAAGGATCCTTCCAATGACAGCCAACACAATATTGTTCTCTGACCTCCAGACTTGACAGATTCATCTGCTTCCTGAACACTTCAGTAATGAATGAATAATAGTTATATCAAACCTAACACATCCACGATAAATGTCCTTGATTATTCCCCCCTCCAGGTTCCATTGTCGCCATTTTTTCTCCATCTCAGGATATGATAGCAACATTCACCTAGATGCTCTACCAAGAAACCTAGAGTCAACTTTCATTCTTCCCCTTCCCTCATTCCCAAAACTCAAGAAAATCTGCAAGGGGCTTGTCAACTATATTGCCAATATAGATCCTAAGTCCAATGTTACCCAATGTCACCAACTTTGTCAAAACAATCATCTTTTGCCTGTACTACTTCTGATTTCCTCTCTTTCATTCTTGGCCAAACCACACTCTCAGTTCTTTCCCCACATTATGGAGAAAGAATCTTAAAATGTCAATCTGATTCTATCATTTCATAGTTCAGAAGTCTTCAAAGGCTTTTCCCTGTACCCAGGGAAAAACTCATATTCCCACCAAAATCTCCAGATCTTGCATGAGTTGTTGCCCACCTCTTGTCCAAGTGCACAGTCTACCTTGCACCTGTTCTCCAGCAGGTCACGTGCTCCCTCAAGGATGTATGCAAATTGTCAAGGATACCTGAAAAGGTCTTCTCAGAAATTTGCTCCTTTTCAGGCATCAGCTTAATGCCAACTGCCTAAAGAAGACTTTACTAAGGCTGACCACTACTTACAGGAAATTCCCCTCAATCCTGACTTCTTTGTTTACAGTTTTATTATACCTTGCAGCTGTTTTATTCATTTGTCTGGCTTTTGTTTTCTACCTATTACCCCCTCTAGAATTATAGATCTGCAGTTCTATGATTGTAAGGGTATCAATCAATCCAAACTCAGAAAGGGCAAAAGTAAAAAAGACTTTACCTGGAGTTTTGGAATTGCAATCCAGGAGACAGGTTCAGACAGCTCCAAATTGGTATTCTGAGGAAGGAAGGAAAAGTGGGAGTTTACACAGGATATTGAATGTTAAGAAGGAACAGGGGCTATATGACCAATAAAAGATGATAAATGAATAGACAGAATGGAAAAGTCCACAAATAATAACCTCTTGATATGAATTTTGAGCCTTGGGGTACAATGTAACTTTGAAGTTATTCTACAGGCAACTAAAATTCACATTCTAGGCAGCAGGTGGAGACTTGCCTAAGTCCTGCCTCCTAATGGTCTAACAAATCCACTGTGAAAAGCTCTTTCAATACTACTTTCATTGAAATTTTCCTTTTTTTTTTTTCACAATAGCTTTACTGATATTCTTTGCTATCACATCCTTAGCATAAGACTCAGAACACTTGGAAAAAGCTCTATTTCTACTTGTTGAAAGGCTTACTGTAAAAAGGGGAGGAATGGTCAGATTAAAAAAAAAAGAATTTGAAAGCATACATAAACAAATGTAGTTGTTTAAAATGTCTTTCATTTATCAGACCCTTTACTACTTCTAAATTTACATGGTGTCTTTTCTATGTGAGAGTAAACAATACAACAAATATAAAAGTATAACAAAAATAATGTCATCTAACATTCAAAGAGTATTTTCTATAGCTTCCAATGTGCTTTTAAATTTTTACCTCAACTCATTTTACTTCTATTTTACAGATACCATCGCTAAGGTTCAGAGGTGGAGGAGTTGCTTAAAACCACAGATTTTTAGTGGTATTGCTGAGGTTCACACTTAGTTCTGGTTTCCAAACCAGTCAGTCTTTTCTTATTTCTTTTATTTTTGTGTGTTTGGTGCACACTTTTAGTGTTTTTGAAACTGAATTACACAGTGAAATATACAAATCCTAGATATGTAGCTTGATGAATTTTTACAAAGTAAATATACCCAGATCAAGTTAGAGCACTACCTACAACATGGGAGCCTCCTTCAAGAGTGCCCTTTCCAATCATGACTACCCCCCATGGAAATCACAATTCTAACTTCTATGACCACCATCGGTCTTAACCTGTTTCGAATCTTATCTAAATGAATTTTATTATACTCTATAACAATAATGCCATTATGAACATTCTTGATTTTCAAAGGAAGAAACGTAGGACCAGAAAGGGAAAAATGACTTAAAGAAATTCAGCAACTGAACAATCCACCTAGATCTCAAGAACTCCCGATTTCTTCTTTATTATATAAAACAAGTCTCAGAAAGTCTGAGTCTTAACATAAAGGTTTTAAAAATTCTTGCATAATATAAAATCAAATATTAAGTCAAATTACAAATACTATGCCAAATAATAATGATATCATTGAGCCTTTGGGTACAATTTGGTTTTTGGCTACCAAAGTTACTTAATTAAAAACTTTTAAAATAAATCAAATTTCCCCTAACTTGTACTATTCAGTGAGACTCTGATGCTTAGAAATATTTTTTTATAATATGATTCTATGAATACTTGCCTAATTTATAGTCAAATAAAACTGATTCCCAGATTAAAAACTAGAATGCCAGAGTTGGTATTCTATCAAAATACAGAAACAACATGAGCAGGTAATATTCCAAAACTTTGTAATTTAAGCCAACTGTTTGGAATTCAGGATGCATTTTCTCATAGAAACTAAATGACACGTAGTAATCAGGCTACAAAGGCCAGCTTTCCTCAAATGTACCTGAAAATAGTGCTAATACCATAGTTTTTAACCACTATAAATAAAAACCTACCTTGGAATTGTGTTTACAAAACTATCTCCTAACACCATAATCTTGTATTAATTCTCACAAACTATAGAAGGCACCTTCATATCTCCCTGTCTTTTCTCTTTTCTTTCAAATGCTTCTTTGACTGGTTTATGTTTTTTTGTTTTGTTTTGTTTTAATCCTTTCTAAACACTTCACTTTATGTTCCCAGATCCTGACCAAAGATTTCTGACCACAACTTATTCCTTAATTCCTGTCCATTAAATAATCCTTTGACATCTGGGAGAGAAGATACAGAAATAAGGAAAACAAAGAGAGGGAGAATAATCATAAAATCACAACAAATGTTTAAAAGTTGCTCTGTTTTCACCAAAAGGTACACAGGGTCAAATGGGGGGGGGGGGGGATGTGGAGGGAGTGTAGTCACAAATGCCTTCAAAGAATTCTTGGGCAGAGGAATGACCCATTGTTCCTCTAGATCTCATAGAATGCATATTTTAAACGAAGTAATGTAAGAAAGTAAGATCGTCCTTTTGTTAAGTAATTTTTTTTGAGAGAGAATTTTTTAATATTTATTTTTTAGTTTTCGGTGGACACAACATCTTTATTGTATTTTTTTGTGGTGCTGAGGATCAAACCCAGCACCCATGCATGCCAGGCAAGCGCGCTACCACTTGAGCCATATCCCCAGCCCTTGTTAAGTAATTCTTAAAAAGTACAGGCTGAGAATTAAAATGAACTGCAATATTTAGATATAAATTATTAAACCACTACTTCTCATTTACAAGAAACCCCAAAATTAAGTGTAGCAATATTAAAACAATATATACAAAAGTTATTTGCACTAACTTGACAGATAACTAAACCACCAAAGAGCTATCAACTTGTAAACAATACAAATGCTTTACCTACTATGTTACTCAGGTTTCAGTGGCTCTGACAAAATACCTGACATAAACATAAACTACTTTAACAGAGCTATGACAATAAAAATGGCATGGTACTGGCACCAAAATAGACTTGTAGACCAATGGTACAGAATAGAGGACAGAGACCACATAAATACAGTTATCTCATACTAGACAAGGATGCCAAAAACATTCACTGGAGAAAAGATAGCCTATTCAACAAAAGGTGTTGGCAAAACTGGAAATCCACATGTAGTAAAATGAAATTAAACCTCTATCTCTCACCCTGCTCAAAAATCAACTCAGTGGATGGAAGACTTAGGCTCTAGAACAGAGATCCTGCACCTAATAGAAGAAAAAATAGGCCCAAATCTTCACCATGTCGGCCTAGGATCTGACTTCCTTAACAAGACTCCTAAAGTGCAAGAAGTAAAATCAAGAAGCAATAAATGGGATGGATTAAAATTAAAAAGCTTCTTCTCAGCAAAAGAAATAATAATGTGAGGAAAGAGCCTACAGATTGGAAGGAAATCTTTGCCACATGCACCTCCAATAAAGCATTAATCTCTAAGATATATAAAGAACTCAAAAAACTTAACAAAAATAAATAAATAACCCCATCAATAAATGGGCTAAGAAATTGAACAGACACTTCACAAAAGAAGAAATACAACTGATCAACAAATATACGAAAAAGTGTTCAACATCTCTAGCAATTAGCGAAATGCACATCAAAACTACTAAGATTTCATCTCATTCCTGTTAGAATGGCAATAATCAAGAATACAGGCAACAATAAATGTTGGTGAGGATGTGGTGAAAAGATAAACTCATATATTGCTGGTGGAACTGCAGATTGGTACAACCACTCTGGAAAGCAGTATGGAGATTCCTCAGAAAATTGGGAATGGAACCACCATTTGACCCAGCTATCCCACTCCCTGGTTTATACCCAAAGACTTAAAATCAGCATACTATAGTGAAGCAGCCACATCAATGTTTATAGCAACTCAATTCACAATAGTTAGACTATGGAACCTACTTAGGTGTCCTTCAATAAATGAATGGATAAAGAAAATGTGGTATATATATTCAATGGAATATTACCCAGCTTTAAAGAAGAGTGAAATTATGGCATTTGCCAGTAAATGGTTGGAGTTGAAGAATATCATGATAAACTAAATAAGCCAATCCTACAAAACAAAGGCCAAATGCTTTCTCTAATATGCAGATGCTAATTCACAATAAGGTGAGGGCACTAGGGAAGAACAGTGTTACCTTAGATAAGCTAGAGGGAAGTGATGGGAGGGGAGGGAAGAGGAGGGTATGTGGGGATAGGAATGATGAAACAGACATTATTACTGTATATACATATGTGACTACATCCTGCTGCCTGAGTTCCCCTTGAGTTCTCACGGGATTCAGACAGTATATTTTGGGAGACAGAAGCCCAGTGAAGGTGGATTTGGGCAGAGAACTTGGATTTCCCCAGAACGTGATTGTAGACGGCTGGTGTGAGTTCGGGAATAAAGAGTTGCTGTTTGAATCTACAAGCTGTGTGGTGGCTCGTGATTGTGTGCCCAGCCAGACTGCGGCATTTGTGCCCAGCCAGACTGTGGCATTTGGTGGTCCGTGCGGGGAACGTCTAAAGCTTAGAGGTAAGTGAAATTTCTCACCCTTGAGGAAGAGAGAAAGAATGGGTGACCAATTCAAAAAACAATGTGTTCTCGTTTTGATTTATTTTGTTTTTATTTCAAGTTGCCTGTTCCTAGAACTTTCTCAGGCAAACTGGGGAAAATGGTTGACTCAAGGTTTGAAGTTGTTCGCCTCCGAGCAAGAGAAATTGTTAGAGGAAGGAGGCACCCCAGTGAGACCAAGAACAATTAGGGCATATGTTGATACAATACAAAAATGTAGCCCATGGCTTTTTAAAGACAAGTTATTAAGTATATCAATGGGACCATCATGGTATCCTGTAGAAAGATTTTTCTTCAACAAGAAAGAGAGGGCTAGTTCTGTTTGCTACACTTGTCTAAGATCTTGGTTTCTACAAAGTTCTGATTAATTTACAAAGCTAAAATGTTGAAACAGCAACCACTCTTTACTTATTAAGTCCCATAAGGTAATATATTTAAACATGTGTGTTTTCATAAATTGGTAAATGGAAAAATGTTTAATATTGCTTTGGTCTGTGTCTTTGCTAAAACAAGGTTACTAAGTGTTAAGATTCTATCATGTGTAATTTATATACAAAGAGTAGAAAAATTTTCAGTTGGGTTTCAATTATAGTATTATAGTATCATAAAAAACATGAAAGTCTTTCATCTTATTAAAGTGGAGTAATTTGTCTAAATCAGAATTTTTATAAGAGTTGTTTCAGAATGTA